AATCAGAGCAGACTGCGCTTGTCGGAAGGAGGGACTTTGTAGAAAACGAAGTGTTTGAGAGAGGCGGGGCATAGAGGACCTACAATAATGTACAGTATTTGAAAAATAATTTGTTTTTTGAACATTAAAGCATGTCAACATATTCTGTTACACCAAATACACAAAATAATGATCTTTAAAAAAGCATCATATGACCCCTTTCATTGTCTTACGGGTTTAGAACGACATGAGGGTGAGTAATTAATGACAGAATTCTCATTTTTGAGTGAACTATCCCTTTAACATTAGTTAACTACTTTAGTTAACCAAGAATGAACAATACTTCTACAGCATTTATTAATCTTAGTTAACATTTACTAACGCATTATTAAAATCAAAAGATGTGCTTGTTAACATTAGTTAATGCACTGTGAATTAACATGAACTAACAGTGAACAACTGTATTTTCATTAACTAACATTAACAAAGATGAATAAATACTGTAATAAATGTATTGTTCATTGTTCGTTCATGTTATTGTAAATTGTTATACCAACAAATTTCAATATTAATATTCAATAATATATTAAGTTGATTTACCCCTTAAATTTAATTTGTTGTAATTAATTTTAAATGCAATAAATGTAATTATTATTAATCAATTTAAATATAATTTTTTACTAATGCATCCCTTTTTATGTAACATTTCATCACAATTTAAAGATACAATACTGGCGTCCTGCAGTAATAAAAACACTAATTGGCCTTCAGATTAATTTACTAATTATAATTTATTAAGCTTTCTAATAGTTGACTGGCTTATAAAACAATCCCAATGATCACTGTTGTTCCCAAGATATATGGCATTGAGGTGCATGTCTTCAATAAAAACAAATGAAAAATCCCTAACAAATCCTTAATTATTTTATACACAATAGGCTGCATTTATCGAAATGAGTCAACTGCACCCAAACACACACAAATTAGCAGAAATTCAATTATGAGAAATGATCTTACAATTATGATTCAGAAAGACTCTAATGTATTATATTTTCATATCAATATCTTTTATATAAAATTAAATTTTATTGGATTTTCTAATTAAATTAGGTCACTCTTCATAGTTTCACTGGAATCAATATGTGTGCGATCTCTATAGTGAACCTTGTAGCATTATCAAATATGAAACCAAATCACTTGGGCAGTGGAGATTTTAGATAAACTACATTAGAAGGAAGCCTCATTTGAGCTTGAGAGACTATTATGTGTAAGTGCGGTTAAGTGCTTTCACGTCAATAACGGAACTGACAGATCATAAATAGATAATACACATTTATGAGAGCTGTGCACTGAAATATTAAAACTGCATTGGGAAAAGCAGCAAGCAGCAGTGTGCAAAAGTACTGCTGATATTATTAAAGAAAAACTCTTACTCCAATCAGATATTACAACTGTCATGATCCACCTGCTTCCTATGCAACTTCCTGCTTGTTTAACTGGCGGAAGAAATGGCACACAAGACACAGTCCCATTGAATAACCAAAACCAGCTTTATGAAGAGACAAAGGTATATTTTCACTGTCAAAGGTGCCCTGAAAAAGGAGGAATCCCAATCCAGAAATTCACGTGTCCATACAGTCATAATGAAAAACAAGTATGATTCTGAGGAGAAATGCTATTTCTACTAGAGGAACACAAAAAATATCAGTCAAAAAAAAAAGTCAAAACTTTTCCAACATTGCCTCCTTAAAATAGGACATCTCATTCAATTGTCTTCACATCGCAGTATTTAGATAACTTGGTGCTGTTTAAAGCATTGCCCAGGCTTGCTATGTGTTTGCTAAGTTGGTTTGAGCGCCTGTCAGTACTTATGTTGTGCATGGTTGCTAAGATGTTCTGGGTGGTTGCTAGGTGATCGCTTACTAGCCTGTGATTGCAAATCTGATCATTTAGTAAAGTAATTGATTGAGGTATCATTCATTCTGTAGTCTGTAGCACAAGATGAATTACAATATCATGGATCATAGATCAAACTGCATGTAAAAAATCCCATCAGTTCCAATTGGAAACTCTTCTACCTGAGAAAATCACTCATTAATCATCCGCATCAGACAGAAGTGGGACTTAGCAAGCTTCAGGCTCAATAAAAGAGGACAAACACTCCTTTCTCTCAGTCTCTCCCCTCCCGCACTCACTCAGTCCCATCACAGCCCATTAAAAGTTTAGTGCTGTTGTTCAGCAAATTGAAAATGTGTGCCGGTATTGATCCACCATCATGCATCCATTCTGGGTCTCTGGAGGCTCATTTTCCTTTTCTTTTAAGCTTTTGTGAGGGAGGATATTACGTTTTGTAGCACTATTTTGGTAGTGATCGAGTTCACCACAAATTCAGGTCAGTAATGAAGAATATGCATCAAACTAAACCAGAGATAAGATTCATATCACTCACACGTCAGCATTTCCTCCAAACACGAGGACATTTAGCAGATTTAAAGGGCAGCTGCATGTAAATTTGCAACTAATAATGGATTTTCCAAGCATTTAAATGGAGAGAGAGCAGAGGTGCCGGAGAGAGAAACGTGTGCCGCTGTGCGAGCAAGTGGATGTAGTCTCAGGTTTCAGCAGAATTACATTAGACTAATGGGAACTCCCCAATATCCGTCAACAAAGAGGGCATACCAGAACGTCTGCAAGCCATAAACTGCCGAATAAGCATTTAACTGAGAAACTGCTTAAATTCAAATAAAACTAAAGGTAGGGAAACTCCAAAAAGGCCCACTGAAGGTTTCAGGAAATGTAGTCTATTTTGCATAGGTTTGACACTGGGACAGTCTGCCATGCTTCAAGCTTGTCAAATTGGGTTCATGAAGAATTCATGCGTTCATTAAAATCTTGATAACATTATCAAATAAACACGTATAGGACCATTCAATGTGGTCTCAGGCATGTCATGTGACTGCATGTACTGTATGTTACAAGGTGCTGATTGGAATGATGATGATGAGGATGAGGATGATGGTGGCAGTGATGCTGAGGGCAGCGATGCGGTACGCCTGGTTCCTGCTGCAACGGGTGTACGAATGCGAACGCCGCAGGAGCGTGTCGGAGGCTGGCGTGTAAATCTCATCCGTCCAGAACTCCAAAGACTCAGGGGCCTGCAAAATATATATAGAAAATATCAGCGTTCGATATCAGAGCTGGTTTATCTGCATTAATGCATGTTTTGCTAGGTTTCATCATCGGTTTTCTTTCATGTTCTGTTAAGATTGATTTAATGTTTAGGGTTCCAAAGAACCCAATAATGTACAGTATATGTAAAAACAATAATAATCATTTTGAAAATAACCATTATTATTTCAGATTGAAGAAATAGTTCACCCAAACATGAAAATTTGCTGAGCATGTACACCCTCAGCCCATCCAAGATGTAGATGAGTTTATTACTTCATCAGAACAGATTTGGAGAAATTTAGCACTACATCACTTGTTCACCAATGGATGCTCTGCAGTGAATGGATGCCGTCAGAATGAGAGTCCAAACACCTGATAAAAACATCACAGCAATCCACACAATTCCAGTCCATCAATTTACATCTTATAAAGTGAAAAGCTGCATATGTGTAAGAAACAAAGTCATCAAAGCAACTTTAAACATTTGCTTCTGGCAAAAATATGAGTCCATAATCTATCATCACTCTTCCTCCAGTGAAAAAGTCCATCCCCTGTTGCCCGCTGCTCCTCTCACATCAAAATCCACTCACATATTTGTTTATAACTGTTAAAACTTGTATTTGGTGCTTAATCTGTGCGTATTTCTCTCCTGATTCAGACGAGACAACTTTTTCACTAAAAGAAGCATTATTATGGATAGAGGTCGGCATATTTTAGCCATAAAAGTCTTGATTGATTTGTTTACTAAAAGTCATGTGGAGTATCGTGATGTTTTTATCAGGCTCTTGATCAGGTGAACTGTTCCTTTAACACAGATTTATAAAACATGTTCTGCTAACCTCATCAGAACCTAGTAGGTTAATATATAAGGTAAGCACTTTAGAAAACTATATTGCCATCCAATTTAAAAATGTTATTCTAGTTTTGGTCAATTTGACACTAGCAAAAATACACTGTAAAAAGATACAGATTCATGAGTTAACAATGATTTCACTCAAAAAATTACATTGGGAGGTGTTACCTGAAGATCCAGCGGTGTTAAGTCTGACTGGCTCCAGGTCACTTTGGGGCGTTCAGTCATATGCTGAGTAGTGCTATGGACAGATGTGCGGCGTGGTGCATTGTGGGTCTCAGGTGTCATGAGGTGAAAGCCCGTCACTTCCTGCACTACAGAGCCCTCTCTTTTATGCACTCCACCTAAATGATCTGACTGAGGAGCCAAATAAGGATTATATTATGACCAAATATTCACCCTTATATCTATACATATACATTAGGTCTAAAAGAGATTACTAGTCAAAATGCATATGTTGTAAATTGCGTATTCTATTTAAATACAATTTCATAATTTTCTGCATTGCAATTTGAGTGCAAAGTTAAATTAAAAAATGTACATGAATTTTAAAATTAATGTTCCTTTTGCTTTAATGACAGCAGCACTCAAGCTGCATGAAATTCACAAGTTTGCATAAAACCTGTTGATCATGTTCATGAAAATGAGGATCTTGTGCTTCAGTTCAGTGTAGCAGGGATGACATAATTTTTTGGGCCAGCCTTAAAGGGGTCATATGATGCGATTTCAATTTTTCCTTTCTCTTTGGAGTGTTACAAGCTCTTGGTGCATAAAGAAGATCTGTAAAGTTGCAAAGACTCAAATCCAAAGAGATATTCTTTATAAAAGTTAAGAGTCAGCCACGCCTACCTAAAACGGCTAATTTTAACACGCCCCCACATGTCTACGTCACGATGTGGGAAGATTTGCATAACGCCGCCCAAATGTTCACGCAAAGAAAGGCGGCGTAACTTTTATTCTCGTTGTAGTATTGTTGCCGCCGCCGCCATGTCGTGAAGACGCTGTGTGTTTCGTTGTGAAAGCGAAACTACTTTGTTTGGCCTTCCAAAAGAGGACGATATCCACTTCGTCATGCCTAGAGCTGATCCGTGCTGGTCGCTGAGGAAATACATCAACTTCGCGCTGTGGATCGTTGGATCGGCTTTCACCACGGACAAAGCGGAGTCCAGCCCAGGGTCGTCACATGTGGTTGCCACAAACCCGCCGGCCAATTCGTTCTCAAGCCCGCCGTCCTCCGCTCACTCTAGCCCACCGTGTGTGACTCTGTGTGTTTCGTTGTGAAAGCGAAACTACTTTGTTTGGCCTTCCAAAAATG